CTCGCCAGGCCAAGCCAAATGAGCCACAGACTAACAGCTCTTGCAGGCTTGTTATCTCCTAATAGGGCCCACCAGGGTTTTCGGGAACACGCCTGCATAACTGGGCTGTCTGCAACCAGCTTTCTCTCTGGCAGCCTCAGCGTTCCGTCGGCCCTAATTACACAGAATCTACTTCTGGATCAGATTCCTCCTTCCCATCCCCAGATAGGGTCGGACTCAGACTACAGCCCGTGCTCCCCCACTGCCCTGGCAGTTCCCTCCCCACCTAGCAGGATTTCCAGCCCGGCCAAGGTCACGGCTGACTCAGGCAAAAGGAACGGCTCTCCAGCTGGCCCCTCACCGGTTCTCACCAACGTCTTGTCATCCGCCTAATTTATTAGTGTCTGAAAACCAAAGCTTTGAAATCCATCTAATTTAACTTCTTCTTCCCGCCTGCCTGGCAACTCTCCTGAAGTTTAAATACGCCAACACTGAAGTGTGTGGGGGCGGATGCCGGGCGATCGAGAAAGAGAAGCCAAGGAGAGGAAGAAGAATAGACCGCCTGACATTTTGTTTCAGGAGACTCATTTGTTAGGCTACTCCAACTCCCTCCTTGGCGGTCTAGGTGATTGTGGGTTTAAATATGCAGCCTCCTCAGCCAGGGTCGGCTGCGCATGCCTTCTTCCTTCCTGCAGACCAGACATTTTGAAGGCTTAGAAGCAGCCAAGCTCAAAAGGCACAGCCTCCTAAAGGCTGGGAAGCCAGGCTGCACCTCCAGCCTGCAAGTCCTCTAGCTGAACCTCCCGCCCTCCAGTGGCTGCAAAGGACTTGGATTTTCTTTCTTTCAGGGATTCAAAGCTGGTATTAACAAAGTCCACGAGCAGAATGACAATCTAAGTGACCCAATATTTACAGGTTTCACTTGGAATGGTGGAGTTTGGGTTTGGTTTTGGTTTTGGTTTTGTTTTCCCTTCCCGCTGCTGGCTGTCTATCTCAGCGCATCATAAGAAAGACGGGATAGGTTTTAAGATAAGTTCAAACCCGCTAGAGTTCTTCCAGAACCAGATCTAAATTCAGAGTTTTTTCCATTTTGGTTTGTGAGTGATGGCAACGGAGTGGAAGTGACCGCAGTTGGGATCCTAGCCTGTCCATCACCTGGCCACACAGCCTTGTGCTGTGTGATCCTGGCAAAACTGTTGTAATCCCCCAGTAGCGCTGTGTTCTTTTCTATAAACTGAGTCGGGGATGGCCCCCTCTTTAAAAGAAACAGAGGAGATAAAGGATGTCGCATTTAAGGCCGCTCAGGCCCCCAACCAAGAGTAGCTGCTCAGCCTGAATCAGGTCTTCCTCTTTCGTCCTGACCTCAGAGGTGTCGAGAGGTCTCCTGGAAAACACACCACACCGCTGTTAGAGTGGTCCTTTGCCAAACTTCTGTCCCTGCAAAAATTTAGCACGCCACACCCACCACACCCCCCTTGACACTCAGAAGAGAAAACCTCTCTGGGTTCTCACGTACGGTTACAGCACCTCACTTTACAGCATTTAAGACTCTCATCCAGATAAGGAACAACCAATAAAAAGAACTGACATGTTAAGGTTTTTAGTTGGAGGGATCATATTTAATATGGAGGATCAGCTCCAGCAGTCTTACTCTTGCTGTGATGGAACACCATGACCAAAGTAGCTTGAGGAGGAAAGGGTTCATTTGGCTCACACTTCAGCATCACTGTTCTTCATAGAAGAAGTCAGGACCAGAACTCAAACAGGGCAGGAACCTGGAGGCAGGAACTGATGCAGAGGCCATGGAGGGGTGCTGCTTACTGGCTTGCTCAGCCTGCTTTCTTATAAAACCCTAGGACCACCAGCCCAGGGATGGCACCTAAGACCATTGGAAAACAGATATTTATATTATAATTAATAACACTAGCAAAACTACAGTTATGAAATAGCAATGAAAATAATTTTCTAGTTGGGGGTCACCACAACATGAGAACTGTATTAAAGGGTCACAGCATTAGGAAGGTTTAGAACCACTGGCCTAGAAGCTGGAGCTATTGCTCAGTGGGTCAGACATTTGCCTAGTATTCATGAAACCCCAAGTTCCATCCTCAGCATCATGTAAAATGGGGCAAGGTGCATACACCTAGAAACCCAGCATTCGAAAGTAGAGGCAGGAAAATTAGGAACCCAAAGCCACCCTTGACTACAAAGTGAATCTGAGGCTAGCTGAGACACATGGGAATTTAAATGAAAGAAAAAAATAGAAGAGAAAAGAAGCATAATTTTTCATGTTTCTTTTCTTAAAATACAGGGCATAACTGTCTCAAGTGCTGAGTCAAGGGCTGTCTGGCCCTACTAGATCATGCAAACCTTTAGACCCATCCTAGGTTGCCAATATGGATCCCGTCCTAAGGGTTTAGCATTAGCTTTAATTTGGTTCCCAGGGAATAACACAACAGGAGTTCATCTCTATTCAAAGACTCAAACATGCAACCAATTATATTTGCAAATATAATTGCATTTATTTTCCTCAACTCAAAGGAATTCCAGCCGTCTGAAGTCCTGCAATCTCCCATTGTGTCCCCTCATTCTGATGTCTCATGTCCCTCTAACTAGGTTCTTGCTGAGGTTCTGCATTCCTATTCTAACCAGGCTGTTGGGGCAGAAGTAGATCCTAGGGAGCAGGTATCCACCTCATTTGCCTGTTTCTGAAAGCAAGCCAATGATCTCTCATCCTCCCTACAGTAAGTGTTTCACTTTAGTTTCTCTTCGTGTGATCAAACACCATGACCAGAAGCAACGTGGGGAAGAAAGGGTTTCTTTCAGCTACTTCCACTTCAGTCCATCGCCAAGGGAAGCAGGGCAGGAACCTGGACCAGAAACCATGGAGGAAGGCTGCTTACCATCATGCTGTCTGGATTTGCTCTTATAGAGCCCAGGCCCACCTGCCTAGGGATGGCGCGGCCCAGGCTGAACAGCTCCCCCTACCTGCACACACATCAATCATCAGTCAAGTCAACCCCACAGACATGGCGACAGTCCAAACTAATCTGTGCAATTCCTCAATGGAGGTTCCCTCTTTCCAGGGACCTGGGATTGTATGAGGTTGATAATAAAACTAACCAGAACACTAAGTGATGTTATAATGGTCACCTTAGTACACGTGTCTCTCTGAGACTCTTTGCTAGTCAAGAGAGGTAGTCTAGGCCCTAGTGAGCTGTATACTCCATTATACTTGACAGCCCCATTGCTTTCTGTGACAATGGACTGTCAACCATGCATACTGGCTCCTTGGCATCACCCAAACCTGGCAAATGCAGCTTCCCAAAGTGTATCACCCTGCTAGGTGATATGGGCCTCTCGTTTTGGCCTTGGTTTTCCCTCCCTGCGATTTTTAGGCGTGTGAAGCATCTCTATGTGTACCCTCTCCACCCTCCCACTTCTGTGAATCTCCTGCTCATCTAGTGTGCCTGTTTTTATACCATTCTTCATCTTTCTTGTTATCAGTTTTCAAGAGTCCCTTATATATTCCGTATGTTACTTTAATGCCATCAGCTTCAAAATTTTAGTTTCAAAGGATTTCAAACCACGTAAAAGTTGAATGCATATTATTGCATAATAGACTTGGCAGATATCTCTCCATATGTCCCACCATAGATAGATAAAAGACAGCAGTAACCCAGCCCTTAATTGGTTATAACCCTACGCACTGACTGGTCGATTATCTTGGCTTTGTTTTCTTGTCTGGGTAAAAACAAAATAGGAACATAAAATTTACCTTGCTCACCATCTTTAAATGTGCCACTCACTAGTGTGAAGTATATTCAGACTGTTGCAAAAGTGTGTAAATACATGATGTCAACACATTCGAAAGCAAGCTATAGACTTGTGATTCGTGTAAGTCGCGTTAGGACAAAGGCTTTCCCCGCACACGTAACACTAATCTCTAGTTTGAGTTCACAGTCAGCAGCCTCAATCACCTCACTATTTCCTGACCTTCTATCTCCATCTGTTGCCACCTTCACTTCATCCTTGAAGACCTTCACGCGCCAAAATCGTTCATGTTCTTGCCATCAAATGTGTCCATTTCTTTTTCTCCCTGAGGATAAAGGTTTTGAGGGCCCTGAACTGTTGACCATTTCCAAATGGCGACAGTATTTTTCAACGATTTCACCTGTTCAGTTTTACAGTTTCACCTTTCGAACTTAGACCTGAAATCTAAATAGCTTCACCTTTGTGCAAGGTAAGAAGTGAGCCCTCAGCCTACTCTTTATAGAGGACACATTTTTGCTAATGCCACGTGTTCTCCCAGGCTGCTTGTGGAGCTTTCTTAGACATCAGGTTCCATGGGTGTTTGCCTAGCTCCTCCCTCCAGTGTTCCACCTGAGACCAGTGCTCCACCTGTCATGAGACCAGTGACCTTCATTTTCATGGTTTTGACTCCTGCCTGTGTATCCCCTGTCCCACACATCAACTTCGCTCTTTGGACTCTCTATTTTTCAGACTTGATAGCTTTGTTGGGCAGGGGTTGGGGGTGGGAAGGGGGAGCTTCTATAATTCTAGACAAAATTTAAGTGATGCTTTCTCAGTTCTTCAAACCCTGTATCTACAGCCAGCCTCCACAGTAACCTTGAGTCACAGTTGTCCAGCCGCCTCTGCTCTTTCTGCCTGATAGATTCCTGGACACTGTCATACGGGAACATTCTGTTCTTGAGAATTACTGCCACAGCCTATCACTAAAACTTGCCAAAGTTTGTTTTGAAAAGAAAAGTTCATGTTGAAAGTGTCTGTGAGTCCCAGTGTACAAGGTCACATACGTGAAGACCATTTCCAGCCTGCAATTCCAGCCCCTGGGTGGTGGAGGCAGAAGGATCAGGAGTGGTCTCTGGATGCAGCTTCTTCCTGTTTCCAAAACACAGACCACAGCAGGGCCTATAGTGGCAAAGGTTGTCGTCCGAGATATTCGGGAGGCTGAGACAGCAGGATCATCAATTCAAGCCAGCTTAGGCAACTTAGTGAGGCTCTGTTTCAAAATAAAAAGTATAAGAAGGGCTTCTGGGTGTATGGACATATGATAACTGGAAGGCCAACACAGGTCGCATGAGACTCCCCATCTCAAAACAACAACAAAGTGCCTCCATTAACACCCTCAAACACATTGACCTTCTTTAGGGTCCCAGGGTAGCACAAATAATAAAAAAAAAACAGTGACAGATATTGGGGTTCAAGCCAAAAACCAGAAAAGCAAAGCAGCCAAGTCACTAGAGAAGTCTTACCTCCCAAGGCTGGGCAACCACAGCCTAAGCTGACTAAGCCTCTCTCTCCTTTCATTTTTATATTCCCTCTAATCTAGTGCTAGGATTAAAGGTGCGTGACTCCCTCGTACTGGAATTAAAGGTGAGGCACCACCACCTGGATTTGTTTCAGCGTTGACCTCCTGTAGCTGAGGGTGACCTTGAACTCACAGAGATCCACCTGCCTCTGTCTGGGGGATTAAATCCTGGGATTACAGGTGGTCTGCCACCACTGCCTGACCTCTAGTGGCTTTAGCCCTTCTGATATTTAGGCAAACTTTAATTACTAAAACATAAATAAAATATCACTATACTCTCCTGCAGAGGAAGCAGCACGAGGAAGCTTCCTTTTGTTTTTTGGGGGGGCTGAACCCTCTACTTCCCTAGGATGATATTTGAGCACTGAAGAATATATGAAGAACCATGGCTTCCAGGCACTGGGAGGATCTACTGAGCCCTGAGTACCATCAAGACAGGAGGATGTCTCAGAGATACCCCCTTGCCTCATATGGCCTCTGTCAATGATCCGCCAAACCTTCTCTGTTCTTTCCACACTCTCTGAGACCCCTACAGTCACCCCGTGGTTACACAAGGTGACCTGGGAAAGGCAAAGGGGACTCCACCTGCACAGACACGTCACCAAACCTTTCTCTGACTCTTTCAACTTAAAGCTTTGTCAGGAAAAACAGGCACAGTTACTCCCAGACTTGACCCATGTGTCCTCAGCAGGGTCATTTCCTCCTTGGGGCTTGGGGACACAAAGGGAACAAGTGGAAGTTGCTGGAACCCAGGACCTTGAAGGAGAGCCTCACAGAACTGGACCCTGATATCTTAGAGAGGACATCAGCCTGCTGGTATGAGTCAGTTAAGGATTCTGGGGAAGTGGGGGAGGAGAGGGTTACAGGGTAGAGTTATGGGGTGCTGGCAAGACTAACCGCTGACAGACAGCAGGAGCTCAGAAGGGAGGTCTCTCTGCGGCAGGGCTCTGGCCTCTTAGAAGGGTGTGCTGGTGCCAGGCCTCTCTGGGGTGTGGCGAGCCCATTGTGGGAACAAGGGAGATAAGGGCGAACGTGGCACAAGCCTTGTGCTTCCTTGTGTTTGCTGATGAGTAACTGATTTCTATTGCAATTACTTCCACCCTACGGTGGAATTCTCCTCCCTGTCTACGTGCCTGTTGGCAGGATTCTAGAGATAGCTGGGTGACTAACTTTGTTCTAGCCCGTGGCTGTGCTGGGCTGGGCCAGGTGTGGAAACCTGGCCGATCTGGCTTGGAGGGCGGAGACAACAGTGTTGGAAGAGCCCTGTTCTGCAGTAAATGGACTGGACCACAGTGCAGCCCAGGGTTTTTCATATTGGTCCACAGACTGATGAGGGAGGGATACCTGGCTCAGGTGAGTAGCCCTGGGCACATCATCTCACTGACCCACTGCAGAACTGCTCATAGTTTAAACCTGGAAGGACCTGCCTTGGTAAATTAATGACTCTCAGTCCAGGGCAGGACTGTCTGTATTCACCTTCAGCATCTAAGCTGGCAGGGCTGGGGGCTTCAGTGCAGAGGCTCACAAAGGTCTGAGGAGACCCTTGGCATACACAGGTGTGAGGTGTTCCGTTGCCTGTCTCAGTCAGATAATGATGCTCCTGTCTGTTCTGGTCCTCACTTCGTAGCTTCCTCTGTTTACCCTAGGTAAGTTAATACTGTTTGATTTACCCAAGTGATGTTTGTATCGGGGTTTTCCTTCATCCAAGCCCACTGCTAACATTTACATACACGCTATAGCTCTTGTGCAATTTCCTGTTGCCTGAAGAGTTTATGTTTTAAAATGTTAAATTGGGTGGTGCGGGGGGGGGGGGGACTTCTCATTGTCTCTTTGCTGTCATCGCCTTTCTAGAAGGAATCAGCATGGAATGGCCTGGTTGCTTCTCCCAAAATAGAATATAGAGTCAAAGTTCTGGGCGGATGGATCAGAGGGTAACGACGCGCTTGCTGCAAAAACATCAGGACTCAAGTTCAAATCCCCAGAATTCATGTGAAAACCTGGGATGGCTTTGACTCCAGAGCTGGAGACTCCCAGAGAGGCAGGACCCTTGAATTCACTGGCCAACCAGCTTCACTGAACTGGTGAGCTTCTGGGTCAGTGAGAGACCCTGCATCCAAACCTAAGGTAGAAATACAGAAGGACACCAGGCATCCACCTCTGGCCTCCACTTGTGCACACACAGACACACGCACCCCAACCCTCTCTCTGTCCCTCAACAAGAAGATGAAGGCAGAGTGAGGAAAAGTTATGTTACACACATGTGCTTTGGATTTTATGTTTATTTGGTTTTAAAATGTGACCTTGAAATATTCCCTCGTACCATGGCCATACAGTGGTTGGTACACTGCATTGTATAATATTACATATGCCCAATTCACAGAATAAAGACAGGCAGCTACAGAGTGAATATCCATGAAGCCACTATGCAGAGCAGGAACTGTTAGGAACTATCAGGAATCTCCGGATAACCCAGGCGTGTTGGTAGCATCATCTTCCCCACATGTCTATCCCTCCTGCCTACTGAGGCTTTGGACTCAACCCTCTAAGTTGCCCTTGGACTTCAAGAATCCCCGAATTACCTGGGTAATAACTCAGAGAGGCTTTCCCTCTCTTACCCCATCACTGCTGTCTGTTTTCCCTTCCTTGAGCAATCTTTGGAAAGCAGAAGTAAAATATGGTCTTAGTGTGTGTGTGTGTGTGTGTGTGTGTGTGTGTGTGTGTAGCTACTTCTCTGAACGGAAATGGTCCCTTCCAGGTGGAAGAGGGTGGGCATGTGAGAAGAATAAATGAAACTTACCAGGCTCAGGAAGCACCAGAAATTTACAAGATTTACAAGGCCTTTCCCTGAGGATTTATATGCATTCGAGGAGAGGTTTCTGACCAGGCATCTTGGCTGCAAGCTGTCAAGAAAGCCTCAAGGATGATACTTTTCAGAGCCATCTTCCTTGCTGGGATAGGCTTTCCCACGATGCAGCTGTTTTTTATTCACTCATGTTCCTCTGGGTTAGCCCTCATCCTGTTCCTATAAGTAACCTCAGTAAACGCGTTGGCTCATAGATCTGGAAGTGGGTTGCAGCAGTTCTTTGGTCTGCTGGTGGTGCCCCATCTCGGGTGAATAGATGTTTGTCCATGTCTCCCTTGGAAACCACACAACAGAACTGGCACCTGAACCAGGACAGACAGAACCAAAGATGAACTGAGAGGGGAGGCTAATTGGTACCTGCAATGGGTTATAACTGAGGCTGCACTCTCCAAGAGTGGAGCACCTGCGGGGGTAATCCTGACATGTTGTCCTGGTTGGGTTTTGGCCAACTTGACACAAGATGAAGCTATCTGGGAAGAAGAACCTCAACTGAGAAAAACACCTCCATCAGATTCTCTATAGGCAAGTCTTTCTGGCATTTTCTTGATTAATGATTGATGTGGGAGGATTCAGCCCAATATGGATGGTGCTACCCCTGAACTGGTGAGCAATCCATGAGGGGGAAGCCAGTAGGCAGCATTCCTCCATGGCCTCCTCTGGAATTCCTGCCTTGAGTTCATGCCCTTACTTCCTTTGAAGATGAACTGTGACCTGGAAGTATACACAGAAATAAACCCTTTCTCCCCAAGTTGCTTCTGGCCCTGGTATTTCAATCATAGCAGTAGAAAGAAAACAGAAAGTTACTACTTCCTGCATGTGGTCTGTGATGGAGAGCCTCCTAACTGTGGTGATGGATGGAGAGCCTCCTCACTGTGGTCCACCTCACAAGTATGGGTGTACCCCGAAGTGGCTGATAGACATAGACTATATTGCCATCCCTGATAGTAAGTACGTGGAGCTACATCATGAGCCTGGCAGCTGTTGCCCAACCTTTGCTCTGGGCAAGAAGCAGAGGCTGAGTTGACTGCCCAGAAAAAGCTTCCCTGTGTTGGGGAGGGTGTCCAATGGGGAAGTGCATACAATTACTTCTTCTTCATTAGCCTCTGACTTGGCAGAGAGGGTGGAAGATGGCAGATGAGTTGGAGGGGCTGGCTTGCAACTTTACAGATGACCGGTTACAAGGGAGAGCACAGGTCTGAAGATAGAACTGTACCACAAAATCCTGGAATCCCGAAACTTGAATCCCCTGGAAAGAATGAGACAGTAAGGAAGGAGGGAGCAAGACAGACAGGGTCCTTAGATACAGCCTTTGACACTGAGGAAGGGAAAAATCCATGATTCCACACACAGTCAGGGCCTGAATGATGGCCCAGTCCAGGAAACAATGATGATCAGAGCTCACTATGCATCTAAACTGCTTGAGTTAGGAAAACTTTCAGATAAGCAGCCACAGAGCTGCTCACAGCCTGGCTCAGGAGGCCATGTGGCATGGTGTGGATGGGATCAGCCTGAGTGCAGGGAGCAGAGAAACTGAGTCATATAGCTACCCATCCCTCCTAGAGACAAAGGTGGCATGAACCAAGACAACACGAGAACAGCCAGTCCCTGACATGGACAAGAGCTTCGGGAGAGAAGGGTTTATTATTGGCTTGCAGTTTAAAAGATACAGTGAGTCTTGGTAGGGGAAAGTGTGGTGTGGGCGGCGGCCTGAGGCAGCTGATCCCCTCTGCACACAGGAAGCAGAGAGCAGACAGGAAGTGGTGCCAAGGTAAAAGGTTCAAGGCCCATTGTTGGTCACCCACTTTCTCCAGGGGGCTCCACTTCCTAAAGGTTCCACATCCTTTCAAAAACTGTGCCAACAGCTGGGGACCAAGGATTTCGATACATGAGCTTATGAGAGACATTTCAACACCTCTGTACCCAACATTGCTTTTTTTGATGAAGCAATTGATACGTCTGATAGGATTGTTGCATGCTGTGCCGGGCCTCGCTAATGTTTCTGTTTTAGTATTCTCTTAGCCACCCAAGGCTAACAGGCACTTAGAATGAATGGCAGTGGGCTTTCAGAGACCCTGTCGGTCCTCTGTAAAAAGTTTTCATTATATAATGCTGACCCTTGGGTATCTTACAGATGTAGAAAAACATCTGGAAGGACAGTAAAAATAGCAATTAAGGAATTTAAATGAGGTACCCTAAGTGAGGGGAAAGAACACTCCCAGGATCCATAAGGTTGTTGGGTAAAAACCCCAGTGCCAGGATGGCCTACTTCTCTCTGAGTTTTTATCTAGGGTCCCATACATAAGTTGTCGCTGTTGTTAGCTGATGACCGAACTAGATGGTAAGACTCTATTGCTAAAGACACTGCACACATTGGCTATAGGACATGGAGAAATCAGCCTGGGACTCTGCTGGAAGCTTCCTCCTGTACGGCTGTCACACATGGAATTAGACAGAAGTATGCATGCTGTTAGGGCGGAGCTGCTACTGATAGTCCTGCTCCATCACAGACTCTTGCATGCTACAGTACCAATGCGCCAGGTACGACGTGTCCTCTGGTGACATAGTGGTGTGACTGGTATGGGTAGAGCCAGCATCTAAGGCCCATTCCATGGACAGTAACTCGTTTCTAGCACTCAGCTAGAAGAGAAGCCTATGACTTTGAGGTCATAGGCCCCAGCGGAGAAGCAATACTAGTATCTTGTTAAATGGGTGGGTGTGATTTGCCTGTCAAATTGCCTTCTAAACATTTTCACTGTAATCTATAGTAAGAGTAATCTATAGATTTCTGTTGCTGTTGGCAACAGAGTGATGGAGGAAAACTTCTTTGTTGTTGTGGGAGTGGCTGCTGAGATGCATACATGGCCCAGAAGGTTCCTTAAGCAAACAAGATGTACAAGCTAAGGCCCCAAGGCCACATAAGTAGTAATAATGGTGGGGAGAAGAGACTGTGGCTGGATACAACTTTCATGAGTCATCATTTATGTGAGGGTCATCTTTCCAGGGATACAGCTTACCTGGACTCTGGTAAATCAACCCTTTCTGTACTTCTCTGAGTAGTAAGAGAAACTCATCGGCCTACTATGGTAGACTTAGATAGGATGGTTTCCTTGGTCTGCCATTGGTGCCCTGTCTGAAACTGATAAACATGTCTCCCCAGAAAATGTCCTACAACACAAACATTGTAGACCCGTTCCCTGGGTTGGGGAACTGGTCCTTGTCCTCCTGTGTTTTACACCCAGTTCTTCCTTCTAATACACTCCACACTGAACCAACAGTGACCGGAGCTCACAATTCACTTGTGGCACCTATATAGAGTCACATCCTTCTACTGACTTCCTGCCTCCTACATGGTGGTTTGGATTAAAGAAAAAATTACACCTATCGTTGGAGGCATTTGAATGCCTGGTTGGTGGTGCTGTTTGGATAGGTTTAGGAGGTATGGGCTTGTTGGAGGAAGGGTGTCACTTAGAGGCAGGTTCTCTCTGCTTGTGTTTATGGGAGACCTTAGCTTCTGCTAGAGACACCATGCTTGTCACCTGCTGACTCCATTCCATTGTAATGGACTCTAACCTTATGGAACCATAAGACCAAATAAAATCTTTCTTCTGTAAGTTGCCTTGGTCATGGAGTTTCATCACTGCAACAGCGAAGTAACTAATACACTTTGCATGCACCTCTCCACAGTCCTATACAGCAGCTTCAGCATCTGGGTGCCAGACCTCCCAGGGGGCTCTGAAGGGTCCACTCCATCCTTGCTCTCCACAGTCCTATACAGCAGCTGCAGTGCCTGGGTAGCCAACTCCCAGGAGGCTCTGAAGGGTCCACTCCATCCTAGCTCTCCACAGTCCTACGCAGCAGCTGCAGTACCTGGGTACCCGACCTCCCAGGAGGCTCTGAAGGGTCCACTCCATCCTAACAGTCTTGCAGATGTTCATCCAAAGCTTTTCTTTATATTTTGAAACCCTTTTCCAGCTGTCCCCATGACTGCAGGTCTCATTTCTCTACTTGTCCCTTCATCCACTAGGCCACCAGGCTCTACTTCCCGATAGACTCAACTACAGGGATTTTCACAGTTACCACTCTCTTCCTTTTCTCTACAGTGTTGTTATCAACTAGACACACATCCGTAAACACAGCAGTTTAGTTGTGTCTACTGTCTTTGAACCAAATAAAATTGGTTTGTTTTATTTTATGTCTAGCTTTGTTTACTCAACATTATGTTTGCAAGCTTCGTCCACATTGTTATGAGGAGCTGTGGCTTACTCATTTTCTCCGCTGAGAATGTCTTTGTATGACTAGCTTACACTTAATTTTTTGCATTCTGTTGTTGATGAACATTTGGGCTTGTCCATTGGGACTATTTGAATAATGCTGCTGTAAGCATTCTTGCATCTGTCTCTTGGTGCACCTGCATACTTCTGTCGAAATGCATGGATGAGGAGAACTGCTGAGTCATGGAATGTCTTGCAATTTAGGAGACAAAAATCAGAAGTGGTGGTTTTATCATTTTTACGTTTCCATCTTTAGAGCTGGTGTTATCAGTCTTGGCATTTCAGGCATTCTGATGGATGCATAGGGAACACTCAGTTGTATTTAAATTTGCTTTCCCCTGACAATGAGTTTGAACACATGTGCAATTATTTATTAGTCTTCTTTTAAGTGTATAGTCTGCTCATTTTTTTCCATTAGGTTCTTGTTTGGTTTATTTTTCCTCACTGATTTAAAGATGTCATTACATATTTTAATACTACTTAATGTATTTTGAATCTAAGAAGCCACTTTCATATGAAGTGTCGAGTTCAAAGGCTATGCTATCTCTACTAAATTCTCTTAGTTGACTTGACAAAAACCCAATCACTCATCTTTGTGCAGGTTCATTTCTGAAGTCTCTTCTGTTCCCATCCACCCACCTCACTATCCCCTTCACTGGAACTCTGCAGTAACCCTTGAAGTCAGTCTAAAACCTTGTTCTGGTTGGTTTCTGTCAACTTAATACAAACCTATCAGGGTAGAGAGATCCTGATTGAGAACCCCCCCCCCCATAAGATTAGGTTGTAGACAAGTCTGTGGAGCATCTTCTTGGTTAATATTTGATGTGGGAAGGCCCAGCCCATTCTGGATGGTACCACCCCTGGGCAGGTAGTCCTGGGTAGTATAAAAACAGACTAGGCAAGCCATGAGGAGCAAGCCAGTAAGCAACACTCCTCCATGCCCTCTGTTTTAGTTTTTGCCTCCAGGTTCCTGCTCTGAGTTCCTGCTCTGAGTTCCTGTTCTTAGTTCCCTTAGTGATAGAGTATAACCCGAGAACTGTGAGCTGGAATAAACCAGTTCCTCCCTGAGTTGCTTTTGGCCTTGATGTTTTATCACTGCAATAGACCTCTACTTTTTCCCTTTTTCTTTTTTTTCCTCAAAATTATATTTGTTCTTTCTGATTTTTTTAACAAGTCAATTTAGAATTTCTAGTTTTTAAAAGTCTGCTGGGATTTTTGTTGATTCATAGATCCATCAACCCCACTTGGAAAGAACTGACATGTGACAATATTGAGTTTATGATATGTAAACATGATCCATGATGTGAGATGCCCCTCTGTATGCTGTGAATATGTTTTATTACCATTGGTTAATAAATAACAAATAGGCTTTGGCCTATGGCAGGGCAGAATATATCAAGACAGGAAATCCAAGCAGAGATAGAGGAAAGAAGGTGGAATCAGAGACACCATGTAGCTGCCCAAGAAGCAAGAGGTAACAAACCACAAGCCTCTTGGTAAAAAAATAAAATAATAGAAATGTGTTAATTTAAGATGTATAGCTATATAGAAACACACCTGAGCCATCAGCCAAACAGTGTTGTAATTAATATAATTTCTGTGTGATTATTCGGGTCTGGGTGGCTGGGAAACAAAGCTCAGTCTCCATTTACATAATGGTGCCCAGTGATCAGTAATGTACATTCACATAAAGCCTAAGAAAGCTTAAAAAAATGTGTATGTATTTACCTTTACTTTCTGTCAACAGTGTTCTGTGTATGTCTTTTACTACATTTAGTCTAAGTTCCCAAGTTTTCCAACATTGTATATAATGAATCTTTTAATTTCATTTTCCAATCATTTGATTCTAATATGCAAATTTACAATCAATCTATATATTATATTTATATCTGCAGTTTTGCTAAATTCATCCTTTTGTTTTACAAGACAGTGTCTCATAAAGCCCAGGATGGTCTTGAACTGGTGATGTAGCAGAAGCTGGACTTGAACACTTGAACATCCCACCTCAGCCTCCTGAGTGCTGACATGCACCATCACACCTAACTGGTAAATTCAGTTTTTAATTCTAGTAGGTTTGCTGAAGATTCTCTGAAATGTTCTGTGTAAATGATCACGTCACACACAAAGAAGGACAGAGTACTTCTTTTAAAAATCTATAATTAGTTTTTTTTCCTTACCTTATTGCAATATCCAGGATCTCTAGTTTGAAGTGGAACGGTAACTGACCTGAATAGGTTTCTACAAATGGCCTACTGCAGTGAGGGAAGGTTCCTTTTCTAGTTTACAAAAACACCATCATTCACTAATTTCAAGCTTTTTTCTGGTGCAGTGTACCTATTGAAATTAGGTATCGTGCTCTTATTTTGTTAATATGACAAATTACATTGCTTGAGTCTCAAATATTATATTAATCCTGCATAAACCCTACGTGGTCGGGCTATTTTCTCCTTTTACTATATTATTGGGTTTAATTTGTCAAAATTGCTTTAGAGATTTTTTTTATCTATGTCCAGGAAGAATATTGGTGTTTGTTTGTTTGACCAATTGTTTTGTTTTGACAGTGTCTTGCTTTGCAGCCTAGGCCAGCTTCCAGTTCATTACCCAACCCGGGCTGAATCTCTTGATCCCTGAGATTATAGGTGAATGCTGAAGCTCTCATTTTGTCAATTTTGTTTATGAAGTGATTTCTTTCTTGTCGATTTTTTGCATTAGAGCTATGCTAGTTTCTTTTTAACTTTTATTGGTTCTTCGTGGATTTCACATTACCCATTCTGATCTCACTTCTCTCCCTATCTCCTAGTATTTGTCCTCTGCCCTTGTAACCTCCTCCCCATAAACAAAACCATAAGAAAATCAAAACCAACACAAAATAAAGAAACAAAACAAAAAGAATGAGAAGGAGGAAGATCTTATTGTGGAAGCTGTAGTGTGACTGGTTGAATCACACAATTTACCTCATTCATCTTTACTTACAAGTGTTCATTACTATGAGTCAGTGGTCTACCTCCAGGCCTCTGGTGTCTCCTAGGTTACCGATAATGAGCTCTCACTGGGGCTCCTCTTGGATAGCCTCTTGTTGTCCTCTGACACAGAGATCCTGTTGTTTGTATCTGTAGGTTTGTCCTCTTCACATGTGCCAGCATTTCATAGATTTTGGTGGATGTTGGGGATGGGTCAATTCATAGCCTTGGTTCTGGGCCTGCATGGCAGCTAGGGTTGGTCAGCCCACTAGCTTTCCTTCATCATCACCACCAGGAAGAGCTCTCCAGCACGGCCTCAGTTAGCTCACCCAATGCAGCCCACAGCATGGAGCAGGGCCACTTCTACTCTAGGGCCCTCAGATCAGAGTCCACTCACTCTTACAGCCAGAGCCAGCTCTAATGTTTGAGAAGGAGGTCTTTACCCAAGTTGGGGGCTGGGACACAGCAATGAGGAGGGGTAGAGGGATTGGTAATAGTGTTGGGTGGGAGGACACTGAGAAAGTTGGGGAGGTTCGCAGGTGGGCAGCCTACCTGGTGTTGGGGCAGTAGGGTTGGCCTCTGGTTGAGCAATTCTCTAATTATTATATAAAGTTCCCAGCTTCTACATTTTCTAAAGGATTTTGTGGAAGATTGGTGCAATGGTTAATCTTCATTGACAACTTGTCAGAATTTAGACTCTCCTAGGAGCTACTGGACACGCCCTGATGGATACTTCCAGAAAAAAGCACTGGGCAGTGAGGGCCCATCCTAAACATGAACTGCACCATCAGTGGGCTTGAGTCCAAGACTATACAAAGGGGACAGGAGAAAGTGAACTGAGCACTGACTGTCACCACTCTCTGCTTCCTGACTGCAGACACAGTCACCAGATACACCATATTTCCACAGCCATGCCCTCCCTGCCATGACCACTATGTCATCAGAACCACGAGCCAGAAGACACTGTCCCCTTTAAGTTGCTCTTGTATTTGCTCCCAATAAGAAGAAGAGTAACAAATACCATGGGCGTCACTTTATTCCATCCTTGGGATTTTTTAGTAGACTTTACCCATAAAACTATTTGATCTTAAGAGTTTCCTGTGGAAATTTTCTTTGAATATAACAAATGAGGGTCTGGGGAGATGGCTCAGTTGGTAAAGCATTTGCTGTACAAGGTGAGGATTTGAGTCTAGAGCCCGAGGATTCATATAAAAACCATGCATGAGCCCTAGCAGTAGGGATGGGGCAGGGCAGAGCTAGGCAGATTCCCGAGATCAGTCAGTCTAGACAGGGTTAGTTCCACTGTGGAAGAGACCGCATCTTAAAAAGTGGCAGGTGTGCTGGCTAATCTTGATTGTCAACTTGATGCACCTAGGAAGTAGGACCCTCAGCTGAAGAACTGCCTCCATCAGATTGGCACGTGAGTGTGTCTGTGGGCATTATCTTAATTGCTAATTGATGTGGGGGATGCCTGTGGTGCCATCTCTGGGAGGGAGGACCTAGGCTGTCTAAGAAAGCAAGCTGAGCAAGCCAATAAGCAGCATTCCTCCATGGTCTCCGCTCCAGTTCCTGCCTCCAGGTTCCTGCCTCAAATCCTTTCTCTGTCCTCCCACAAATGGTGGACTGTAAGTTGAAATAACTGCTTTCTCTTACGTTGCTCTTGGTCACTGTTTTATCAAGCAGCAGAAAGCAAACTAGGACTGAAGGCTAGAGGAATGCGCACTAACCTCTACCTCTGACCTGCATAAGCACAAGCTTACGTGTACTCACACACACATGCAGACACACACATAGGTGTAAACACACATGTATATCTACACACAAAAAAACACAAAAGAACAAATGAAATTCATTTAATAGATGGGTTGTTCTGAGTTTCTGCTTCATTGCTGCCAGCTTGAATGTTTGATGGTTTCAGTGATTGTGAGTTTGTTGCTATGAAGTTATTAATTATACCCCACTTCTCCTATCATCTTAAGGCCTGGAGTATCTACAGCAGTAGCCTTTATTTATTTCTGGTCCTGGTCATCTGCCTGCTCAGTCTCGCTAGGTAGGGGTTTATCAATTTTGTCCATCCTTTCAAGGATGGCCTTATGAGTTCATCTTTATTATCACATCTCTTCCATGTGGATTTCCACTTTCATCTTTATGTTTTTATACATAGTCTAGAGTGCTTTGCTCTTTCTCTTTGTGCTATTTTTAGACTTTAAAGGTGACTTTGGAGCTCTTATCATTTCTAGTAGACACATTTAAAGTCTCTGTCTCTAAACACCGCTTTAGTCAAGTCTCTCACATTAGATGGAGTCCCAGCTTGCAGACCCAAATAGTTTCTTGATTTTCTTAGAATTTCTTCTTTGATGTGCAGGTTACATAGAACTGTGTAAACCTGTGTAAATGTTGGTTTTAGATGTTTTATTTTTATTTAATTAATTTTTTGGTCAGCGAACACATCTTAAAAGGTCCCAATTCTGAATTCACATATCTCACTTATTTTTCCTATTGGTGTAATCACCTCAAATAAAGCACTTTAAGGGACAAACAGATTGCTTTGGATCAGTTTGAAGGTGCAGCCCATCCTGAAGGGGAGTCCTGCAGACAGGAGTGAGGCTGCTGGCCACACGGCAGAAGCAATCAGGAGACAGAGAGGGAAGAAAGCACACTCACACTCAGTTCCCTTTCCTCTTGTTCTTGAACCAGGACTCCACTCATGAGATGGTACTGCTCACATTTCAGATGTGTCTTCCTGTCTCAATTAACCTGATCAAGACAGGCATACCCAGAGGCTAACCCAATCTAGCCAATCCCTCCTGGGCATGCCCAGACCCTCCTTTCCTAGGTGATTCTGCAGTTTATCAGTTGGCAATCAATATGAACCATCACATTCCCCGTCTGGACTTCTGCTGTGCCACGTCCCATCAGCCCCCTGTGATCTTCAATCTGATTTTTAATACGTATTTTGTCTGGTTTTTCTTATTGTTTTAAGGAAGAGAGTTAATCCAAATCACCTAGTCACACATTGCATCTGCTTTTATACTCAGGTAGCTTCAGCAAAGTCAGTTCTTTAACATAAAAGCTGTGCTACAGGTGGCCTTGGTGATCTTTGCCAAAGTCAGTGACCTGACTCTGCTCTTGAGATATGAGCCAGTTTGGACCCCAAGTTTTTTTTTTTTTCTTTTCTTTTTTTTCCCTCTTCTAACAAAATTTAGAAGCTACTTTTTAAAATGAGAATTTCCAAGAATTGCTCCAAAGTGGGGTCTTTCCTCCCAGCTGGTCTTCATTTTCTGTTTCGTTTACAAGGATGTCTGGCTGGAGCAAAGCTGATTTCATTTCTTCCTCTTTCTTATATTATTTGATCCCTGTTCTATCAACCTAAGCATGTCATTTGGAACTATATTCCTCTTCAACAATTAAAAGTATTTCTAGGAAATTTTAGATACTTTACCTAGGTAGTCCTACAGTGTTCTTAAACCTTGATGTCATTAGTCATTCCCTGGAGACACCATTCTTTGTAACGCTTCCAGTCTCACTCAGATTGGAGAGTTAGAGGAAAGAAACTGGTCATATGCCGTTCTGCTCTCCCCAGAACGTGCGGCCTTAAGGAAACACCCATTCGGCTCCTCCAAGAGTGTCGGCTTCAAGCCAATGGTTCTAGGTCTATGTTACGTAGTTGTTGATTTTACTCTTTGGCTCTTTGGGAGCCCACCACCCAGCTCCCAAATTAATCACACGGAGATTTATTCTTTCTTATGAATTCCCAGCCTTAGCTTGGCTTGTTTCTTGTCAGCTTTTCTTTTTTTTTTAATATAATTTTTTATTGAAAAAAAATTTCCGCCTCCTCCCCGCCTCCCATTTCCCTCCCCGTCTCCCTTTTCCCCCCACTCCTCTCCCCCTCCCTCTCCAGTCNACTCCTCTCCCCCTCCCTCTCCAGTCTGAGGGGCAGTCAGGGTTCCCTGCCCTGTGGAAAGTCCAAAGTCCTCCCCGCTCCATCCTGGTCTATTATCCCATTTACCTTTTGCCTCTGGGCTTTTATCTTTATTCTATACCCCTTTCTTTCCTTCTCACTCCGTGGCTTGCTGTGTGGCTGGGTGGCCCCTGGTGTCCTTCTCTCCTCCTCCTTTTCTCACTTCCCCATCTTCTCTTCCCCATCTCTCCTCCTATTTATTCTCTCTGCCTGGCAGCCCCGCCTATCCTTTCTCCTGCCTTGCTAGTGGCCATTCAGCTCTTTATTAGACCAATCTGGTGTTAGACAGGCAAAGTAACACAACTTCACAGTTAAACAAATGCAACACATCTCTGCATCATTAAACAGATGTTCCACCGCATAAACAAATGTAACCTATCTTCAACTAATATTCCACACTGGTGCTATCCACGAACATCTGAGATTCGGGAGGAGAAAGCCCAAACATCATAAGCAGTGTTAATAAGTAGCTATCTTCGTTGTGTGTGACAGATTTTTTTTACTTATCACTATATTCAGAACTTGAGTGAAGTCGAAGAGCGCTACTTACTGTACTTCTCGAGTCCAACAGTTCGGCCACCTTCTTCCTGAAGTGAACCACCCACCCACTGTCATGAAGGAAAATAGTCACATGCTCTCAAGCATGCCATAAAAAGATCCCGGATCTACTGAAAAGGGTCTTTGGTTCAGAGGCACATAAATACATTAGCCATTAACCTTTCACTGAATAAAAATCTTTAACTCATCCACTTCATGAATCAGCTCATCTTTTCATTTTATTTTATTTTATATTTCATTTAGTATCCACCGATTACCTGGATCAGCAATAACATCACACGATTCTGGAATTCACAAATGAAACAGGAGCCTTCATTATGATAAGAAAAGCCCCAAACAGGAAATGGTAAGAGGATCAAAACTGCGGCAAGATGCTAGACATCTATAGTGAAAAACAAAACAGTCTCAGGTTTCCAGAGTGAAGTGACAGGACAGAGGACAGCTTAACCTTCCACTCTGTGACTTACACAGATATGCCTGGTCCCATGGCGGTCCTGTTCCCTACCCTGTAAAAACAGGGCCAAGTGAAGCCCACCTAGAAGGGGTTGGTGAATGAGGAATACACTGGAAGGCCTGTGACATAGTGAATATTCAATGATGATATTTCTTTCTGTTTCAAAAAATACCCCTCATAACCCCTGACCCAAATTTCTTGCTTACTTAAGGAAATCCTAGGGAAGTGTAGTAGGCTTTCTTGGATTGCCTGCCCCCAAATCGTGACACGGAGACTGATTGTTAGTTATGAATGCTCGGTCTTAGGCTTGTGCCGCTACCTCTTTTAGCTTACTCTAACCTGTTTCTCTTCATATATGTTTTGCCTCAGGCTTTTTACTTCCTTTCATTCTGTATATCCTACTTTCCTGCTTCCTCCACATCTGGTTGGCTGATGGCTGCCTGGCTGGCATCTCCCTTGTTCTCTCTCCCTCTCTCCCTCCCTCCCTCCCCTAGACTCCTTCTCCTACTTACTCTGCTGGTCACCAGTCCCACCTACCCCTCCTCTGCCTAGCTATTGGCAGTTCAGCTTTCCATTAGACCAGTCAGATGCCTTAGGCAGGCAAGGTCAAACAAATGCAACACATCTCCATGTAGTTAAGCAAATGCAGCATAAACAAATGCAACACACCTTTACATAGTTAAAGTAATCTTGCACAACAGGGAACTCTCTTGGTAATACTGGAAACCAAAGAAACAGGGGTATTAGCAAACAACACAAGCCAAAGAGAAGCATGAGCTTGGAGAAGGAGCAATTCGGTAACCTGCGCACTGAGATCTTTGCCAAAGGGCTCTGTGCTTTGATCCCAGCCTTACAATCCTGTCATGAAACTGAGGAGCCAGATATTACTGAGCCCATCTGAAATGCAAGGGAGCTAAGCTAGGCTCAGATGGTGTTATAGCATGCAGCAGTCATGCCCACTCTCCCCATTGTGCCCTAGACATGATCCAGCCACTCTAAAAGAATGGCCATTGTGGTCCACCCCCAACACACACATACAAAGGGGCTTAACAGTATATAGGCCTTCATTTACTCTCTTTTAGTTCCCACAACAAAAATTTCTGACCATTTTACAGATGAGAAGCCTCCGAGAGGCCAAGAACCAAATAGCACATAGCTAACAAGGACTGAACTCAAGTATCTGACAATCCAAGGGCTTCTATTCCTATGGATGTACAGTTTCTGTGTGATTATTTAGGTTCTGGGACAAACAAGCAGCCTCCTCCTACACATGGGCCATGATCACAGCGCAGCAAATGAGGGCAAGAGAGTGGTGGACTGTTGTCCAGGGAGCATATTCTCCACCTCCAGGGGAGCATCATCTCTGAGTGGCTCTGGCCTTGTGGTCATAGCGACTGGCACATCCAGTACTCTGCCCAGGTCATTTAGCATAATCCTCAGCAATGTGGTGATTTATTGATGACTCTGAGTCCCCACTGGGCCAGCATGAGAATAATCAGATGAATAATGAGCCTGTGAAGATGGATGCACTCGGAGCCAGCTCCCACAGAAGGGAATTATGCGCTGGGATGCTGCCTGGAGCAGCGGCAGGCAATGGATGTTTCTGGGGAAGGATGGGCTCCATTTGCTCTTTTGGCTGCAAGTTGCTTCTCTCAACACAGGGAGCTTAAGAGATAACAGCACTGGCACCTCCCTGTTCCAAGACAGGAGATGGAAAGAATGACGTTGGTCCCAGCGACAGGAGAACAGAACCCGCTCCCCCGCCCCCCCCCCAGCCCCGTTCAGTGGGTGTGGAAAGAGCTGCACAGAAGGAAGGCATCCCTGAGGTTTGGCAGTATGTGTGCAGCCACCCTCCGAGATCGCGAGCCATTGGACCCTTCATTGTGCAGCTATGCTGTTAGTTATCACTGAATCCCAAATGCTCCACAGACACTGGAGTGTCAAACAGTCATCCTGTATTGCTTACAGCTCTATGGGTCATAATTCACAAGGCTGGGGAGATGACTCAGTGCATAAAGAACTTGCTGAAGGGGCAAGAGGACCCAAGTCTGGACCCAAGGACTTCCAGACATAGTGGCACATGTCTGTAACCTCGAGCACCCTGGGATGACAAGGGGGTGGGGAGAGACAGGTTCTTAGAACTTGCTGGTTAGCCAGATGAACTGGTGACATAAGGGGTCCTTTCTCAAAAATATAAGGTGGGAGGTAACTGAGGGAGACGCCCAAGGTCAAACTGTAGCATCCGCACACATCCACACACAAATAAATAAATAGATAACTATCAGGACGGCTCACTGGGAATAGCTGAGCAGACCTCAGATGGTGCTGGCTATTGGCTGGGTGCCTCAGTTCCCCAACACAGCTTCTCTCCAGAGAGACAGCTGGAGGAGTTTGTTTGTATCCCGGAGGGAGGGTGTTCAGGGACCATGAGCTGAAACACACTAAGATACGCTGCTTTGCTCAAAGCAAGTCAAGAAGCCCGACTGGTTTATAGAGGTTCAGATACACCCGCCAGCTGTGGCTGGGAAGGGCTGCGGTTACAGCAAAGAGGGGGGAACAGGGATGGGCATCACTGAAGCTGACCCTGTGCTAGAATTTAGTGGGTAGGAGGCCTGTTGAAGAATACTGTTGAGAAGCCACCTGAGGAGCAAGCACAGAGGACAGGAGACAGGAGTGAACAGAGGACGAGGAAGAGATGCAATGGGGTCCAAAGATAGTAGCACCAGGAGCACAGGCGCTCAAGAGGCACTTCAGAGCTGGCCCTGAATATAACCAGCTCAGAATACATATGCAGACCAGGCCAGGGTCCACTACATTCCTCTGCTATCTACTGTAAACACCTGAGACCACACAGCGAGTCTAAGCAGGACAGCCTGGAAGCTTCCCACGGCCATCCAGAGTTGGGAACCCAGTAATCATTTCCTTTCCTTTTGCTGGGGAACACTGAGGTGTTCTCTGAGGGGTCTCCCTGGGTTCCCCAGCGGGTTAAGCTTTGGTTGCTCTCAGCAGCGGCCTGTAGGATAACACACACTGGGTGCGAGCTTCTCTTCTTTCTTGACTCCACTCACCATTGTTTTCTAAGATCAAGAGCAGTTCCCCTCACACCTTTTCATGTGTGTGTACATGTTCATATCCATGAAGGGGCGTGTGTGGTGTGTGTGCGCATGTACGCACTCATGTGTGAAAGACAGAGAGAGAGCAAGAGAGAGGGGGCCAGAGGTCAACCTCAGGTATCATTCATCAGAACCCATACGCCTTTTTGTTTTACCAGGATCTCTCATTGGCCTGGAGTTTACCCAGGAAGTGAGGCTGGTTGGACAGTGAGCCCCCAGAGGTCCCTTATCTCCACTTTAGGGATTACTGGCATCAATATCATCTTTGGCCTACGTAGGCTCTGGGATCAAACTCAGGTCCCCATGCTTGCACAGCAAGCACTGTGTTGATTGAGTCATCTCTCCACCCCAGCCCTTCTTGTGCTCAGTCTTTTCTTGGGATCTATATCTGGTGCGATTCAAACAAAGATGTGATGGCCTTGAAAACAAGTTCTGGAAACCCTGAGACACAGTAGTAGACTAGTGTACAGGAAAACACTCCAAGCCAAAATGCCACCACCTTCCTGAGCTCAGCTGCGCCCACTTGCAGAAGAGCATCCGAGCTGGGCTTGTCAATGGCTGACCTTCCCTCACAGAAGGAGGGGCCAAGAGGATCTAGCCCTTCTTCTAACAGTTATATACGATTCTTCCCTAACTGCGCATGACCCCAGGAAGGGGCTAGAAGTGTACAGGCTGGGAGGGACTAGGGACAAGCTCCCTCTATGCCACCTTGCAGGAGTTGTCAGCCCTGCTGGGTGCAGACTTCCCAGTGTGGCTTCTTCAAGGCCACACATGCTGCCCATGACCCCTCACCCACTGATCAGCTCTTAATGCTAGTAAACTCATTGGCTCCTCAGAGGGAACTTTGGTTGACTCTTACCTGTTTGTCGTTAGGGCCTTTTGAAGAGGGGAAGTAGATATATATTGCCTAGTCTCCTCCCACCCCGCACCCACCCCTCCCACCCCCCCCACAAGGAAATTCTCACAACAAATAGCCATGCAATTCCCCCAGGCTGGGGAGCCAGACAGTCTGTGTTTGAATCTGCCTCGCTGGTACGCAAATATTTAATGCTAACACAACTGCTATTTATAGACTCTAGAAGGAGGTTCAAGAGAAGCAGAGCTGGGAACTTTAGAAAAGGAAGAGAGTTCCAGAAGGATGGGTGACATCTTCCAATTATGAGAAGACAGAAATAAGTCATTTTACAGAAGCAATTACAGAAACCCTGTGTTTTCCCGTGATGCTTCAGGGGAGCCAGGCTTTTTAAAGGACAAAGGGCAAGAGATGCAGCCATAGGAGACAGAGAACAAAGTTCTCCGCCCCCAGTCTGTAAGATGAGAGACGGGGAGGCCAAACCCCAGAATGTGCTGTGGCTTGCCAGTCCCTGAGAACAATAGAGAGGAGGAAAGGGCGAGCCTGTGCTGGGCAGAGTGGGCACTGTTCAAGGGCGGCAGAAAAGGCAGAGCCTTGCGCCTCCTACCTGTCCCCCTTGTCGAGCGAAGGGCTCAGAGCACAGAAGGTGGAGACAGGCAGAGTTAAGAAGGTGTCAACACTAGCTCAGGGCCCAACAGCCAGAAACAGGGGCTGCCAGCGAGGTTGTGGGTTCCTGGGCTGACAAGCTCTTGAACCGTAACTAGGAGCCACTCCGGGGCTTTTTTCTCAGTCCCAACAGGTTTCCCAAAGAGCCGAATGAAGAGCTGAGCAGAGCTCGGTACAGAAAGACACCAGAAATTGTCAACACGGGATGATGTTACACCCTCCCTCCCTACTACACACCTTGCCAAGGGACTTTGGACAACGTCTGGAGACCACTTTGGACTATCACAACAAAAGCATAGGGGGGCACTGTTGGTGCCCAGTGGCTAGAAACTGAATAGCCTACATTACTTCCCACCATGTTAAACAGAGACCCCACCAACACAGGAGAGACTGACTTAGCCCAGCATGTCAGTGATGGCAAGACTTAAGAATCATTGGTCTAAACAAAACGATTGGAGGATGAGTGGATGAATGAATGAATGAATGAATGAATGAACGAACGAATGTGACTTGGCACTGTTGTGAGTCCTGGGGATGAAGATAAGCAAAACACTCTCTCCCTCAAAAGCTCCTAATCCGGAGCAGAAGGGATGGAATTCTGGCCAGGACGTGAAGCGGAGATGGAGGGTAAATGGCGATGTGACATGTTCTTGGCAAACTGGGGACACCACACGAAACCCAGTGTGCCTGGAGCGCAACTGGGAAGAGCGACCAAGACAGGCCTCAGACGGCACTGAGTGCTGCCGCTGTCCCTAGGTGCTGTCTCCTAGGCACACGTCTCAGGAAGGCAACTGAGATGGTGACACAGTCAGATCTTGTTCACAGCAAACACTTAGCAGCTCTGGTTGAAAAAATTCTTCCCTCCAGCCAAGAATTAGTACACTAGTCTCAATCCATAAATCTGCCCATGATGACCTCATGCACCAAACAGTAGAATACGCTGGAGCCTTGGAGAATACCCTGGAACACTCTGCCCACGCAGATGTGACCCATTCTTTTCAAAGCACAATCCAGTAATTTTTAATAAATCTGAAGACTTGTGCAATGATCACGATAATCCAATTTTAGAATATTTCTGTCACCCCAAAGAGTCCCCCGTGTGCACTTGTTCTCAATCACCATCCTAACCCCAGCCTGAGGCGGTCACCAATCTGCTGCCTGTCTCTTTGTAGCTGCCATTTCAAGACAATTCAAACAAATGGAACCCTGCAGTAGCTGCTCTTGTGCCTGCAGCTTCTCTCGCTTAGCGTGAATCAGTAGTTTGTCCCTCTCTATTGCTGAGTGCCGCCTCAGCCCTATGCCTATTTAAAAGACTGCGCTGGTTAGAGGATGAAGGATGGAGCAGAGAAAAGAGAAAGACCAGTTAGAAGATGGTGTTAGTCTGCGTGGAAGAATGACTGAGCACCAAGCAAGAGGGAAAAGGGGCGAGAGGCACCAGGGCCTGGAAGCAGCTGACGGGAGGGTGATTTGGAAGGGTTGCTCATGCATCAGATCTGTGTGGGCAGAGGGAGAAGACTGGAATAGGGTTAGAGCCCCACTGGGCTATGAAAAGGGATGTGAGCTGATTGTAACTGTGGGGACATTCATACCTGTTTGAAAGAACCACCATTCTACAGATCTAAGCAAGCCTGGGCACTGCTGGGAAGCTGGCTTCTAGGGCTTTGGGATGAAGATAATGATAACAAGTTTGTGGAAGGAATAAATGGCACAAAGCTGTGAGGGACTGCAGGTTGAGGAGGGGGTAACACAATCTCAGCAGGTTCAAATGAAGGACCAGGGATGAATCGTGCTGGTAATGCCCAGTGGTCACTAGTTCTGGGCACTTATCTATCTTGCAGGGTGTTGTGTCTACAAAGACACAGGACAAACCATCTGAGGACTACCCATGCTTCTGCTCTGGGTTATAAGGGTCAGCTCTGCTCAGTGTCGTGTGGAATGGAAGACTTCTTCATTCCAGGAGGAGGAGCTGAGCCTGCCCAAACACCAGGGTCCCCCAGCGCACAGCCACTGATCGCTAGATCTATTCTCTAGGTACTCTCTATCAGGCAAGCCCAATAGGCTAAGCAGTCTTTGGCAGGCCTCCCCACCGGATGCTGAGAAGAGAGGACTTCCTGTTTCCTTGCACAAATTGTATCAGTTCATTCTGTGCTGCGGCAACAGAATGATTAGGTCTGGGTCACTCACAAGCGAATGGAGTTTTTAAAGCTTATGATCTGGAGGCTGAGGTCTTCAAACAGCATGGTGTTGGCATCCTGCTCAGGGCTTCCTGGCTGTGTCGCACCATGGCAGAGAAATGGAGAGAACTGGCCTTACATAGAAGAGGTCACAAGGAGAAGCAGGACGCCAGTAGGATTTAGGGGCTGGGCTGGTTCTTTCTTATATCAGCCCTGTGGTAGAGCAAACCAGGGTCCCAAAAGAAACATGTTAACCTCCTCCAAAGGTGATGTTCTCCCCACATTGGCCTGATTATCGTTCACTAAGCTCTATCTCCAGAAGGTGCACCATCTCCCCAAATTGCCTCCCCTAAGACCCATCCCCCGGCTCTGGGGCACAGCACTCGTCCTCCAGTGACACCTGCTATTGACCCCCTGTGTCCTGGGCAGATGACGTATGCCAGTCTCTGGTAGCTGACTGGTGGTAGAATGAACAGAGCCCAACAGGGAGTTCATCGACACCAGTAGAGGGCCAAACTATGGTCAGTGTTAGAGAAATGACTCAGGGGCCATGAAATTCCCAGACTGCTTGGGTAATGGACACCTTCCTTTAAGTCTGTCCAGGTTTCTGGGCATTAAGCAAGGACCTTAGCCTTCTGTTCATTGTGACCAATTCCATAGAAGTTGAAACCCTGGAAATAGCTACTGCATTTTCTAATTATGCAATTAGCACAAGCTCCGGGGACCAGATTTAGAAAACATAAGCACTGTTAATTTTTGATCATTTTCTTTTCCTCTCCGTATAGAATGTATGGTCTGAGTATTCATTCATTCATACATACACATAAACATACACACATATCCTGCAGATTTTCTTACTGTATAATTGGGATCAGCAGCATAATTTTCAGCTTAAAATTTAAAATAACTCTTTGTCATTAGGAGATAAAGGTGGCAAAATATCTGTTGCACAGGCCCAAGGGCTCAGCACACAGAAGCCAGCGCAGCTTCGCCTGAAATCCCAGTGCTGGGGAGGTGACTGCATGCAGCTCATTGCAGCTCCCTGGCCAGCCAACCAAATCAGCAAGATCCAGGCTCAGTGAGAGACCCTGCCCCCTTGACCTCTTAATTCTACTGGCTGGCCTCCACATGCATGGACACATGTGTACACATGCACAGACATGCACACACACATGCATATCCACATGCACACACATGCATATCCACATGCATACATGCACACACATGTACGAATGCAATGGAGTCTTTGATGATATTCTTTATGATCAGGGCATAGTATTCTGCCACCCCTGCCTGTTCCACTCATTGCCTTTTCATTGCCCCTATAGAGTCTCAGGACCTGGGTCTGGCTTTGGTGGTAGTTAAATCTGGGGCTACATTGCTCTGTGGGGCTCATGAATCTTCCCCAGACACCTCACGCGGCTTCCCCCTTTCCCCACCTTTTCACTGCACCTGCAAACTCCTTTCTGGTAGCCTTGTTGGGGTGTCTGCCCCCTCCCTTCTCACCCTACTGCTCACGCCAAGGGTAAGATCTGCACTTGTTCCCTGTTATCCCCACCACCTGGTTCCTGTGACTCCAAATCTTCACAGTCCTGCTGAGGCCACCATGGCTCTCTCCTGCCACCTCCTGCCCACTTGCAATATCTGTGACATTAACATAACCCTTCCAAAGCTGGGAAGACTTGGGAGAAGACAGGCTTAAATCAGCATGCAGAAACTCAAGGGCGTTAGGAATAAAGTTCCCCATGCAGTTTCTTCCCAACCGTCTATGACTGGACACTTCCGCTCCTTAACTGTGCCAACACAGAGCGAGGGGCTTTCGTCTGGAATATGTCTAGCAAGAATTCAGAATGGAATGAGGCTTTCTGAATAAAAAGAAGGAAAGGGAGGGGAGGAGAGGAAGGAAGAGAGAAAGGGATGGAGGAAGGGAAGAGAAACAGAGAAATGGAAGGAGGGAACAGAAGGGGGAGAGGAGCTGATAAAGACACGGGACTAACCGGAAGAAAAGCCTCAGAAAGACAGGGTTCAGGTCAGAATCAGGAAAAAGGCATCGTAGAAGGAGCTGTACTCTGAGGAAAAAACCTGGCAGGAAGTCACCAGATACAGCAAGATTCAAGAAGAGGCGGTACCACTGTGGCCCATAAAGATGTATTCCCCACTCCTTAAAAGGCAAATGCAGAAATCACACCTCTGTGAACCCTCTTTACTGGGGCTGCTTGCGATGCAGAGGCCTTGAAGGCTGCAGAGAGATGCATGGCTGCTTCCTAAGATGAGCCCTCCAACAGATCTGAGGCTGGTTTTCACTAGCTCTTTGCTCTTGATAGAGAGAAGCCGTGCTTGGAGTCACTGGGACAATCCCAGTGTGGTCTGTGTTCTCTAAGCTATGGGCAAGCCAAGGCCAAAGGCCTGAGCTCCCATGATTCTTTGCCCATAAGCCTGTCTGCACCCGACCACACCGTGGCCACTGCAATAGACCCTTGTGTAGCACCCATTAATTTCCCTCTTCTGGCTTAGTGCAGAGAATAATCAGTGAGTGCCTGAAAAGACAGTTCCATTTGTAGTGGGAGAGCTCTGAAGAAAGCAGATTCTTAAAGGGTGGAGCCAGGGGATGTGTGAAGAGGCATAAAGACTTGAGAAAGGGGGAGACTGGGACAGGAGTTTGAGGGGACAGCAATCAACATGGCTGATGACCTTGTGTAGCTACACAAAGGCTGAGCAAGATAGGGCACAGACTCAAAGAGGCAGACGGTGTTCAGAATTTTTATTCTCTATATTAAAGAACTTGGTCATCAATGCAGAGGCTGTGGGGTCAGGGTAAAGACAATGGCGGGAACATGGAGGAGAGAATGATGGTGACAGATCCCTGATTACAACAGGCAATCTGGTGAGACTCCTGGTGGAGCAGAGACAGACACCAGTGGATGAGTCCCACCCAGCATCTCCACCATGGTGTGTGGCTCAGGAGGAGGAGAGGTATCTGCCTGGCGATGGTTCAGCATGAATGCCTTCGTGACGAGGAGCTGGGTGTTTTCAGACTTGGACAGTTTCATAGATGGGCGAGCCGTTCCTCTAGAACAGTCCATTAGTCTTGTCCAGTCCACTTTCCCAAACCGATACAAAACAAACCAAGCACATCTCTGATACGGCAATTCTATACAGGGAAGGACTTTAGGGGCTAATGTCCCTCTTCAATAAAGGCCAGGGTCGTTTTTTCTGGTTAGAGAATCCGGTTGTGGCTCTAGCTGAAGGCAAACTGAGTCCTAACCAGAGTGGATGAGAACGGCTGTAAAAGTGTAGCCTTGAGTTCGCTTGCAAGCATTACAACTGGACTGGCTGCCCATCGTAGTCATGAATACTAGCTAATTTTCCTCGTTGTCACTGTCATTATATCCCCCTCTTAGTGTTGCTGACTTTACAATCAAGTTTCTAGGTGAGAACATAGGATTCTGAGAAAGAATTTGAAGAACTGGGGAAGGACTGGTCAGTCCCAGAGAACCCGGCCACAGCTTCTAGGAGACATTGGGTTGTCTCCCTTGAGGAAAGACTAAATCTTTTATTATATAAGGGTGGTAAAGGTGTTTTGTTTTTGTTTTTATGTGTTTTGAAATGTAAATGTGGACAGAAGTGACATTGCTGGTTGAGGAAAATCCCATAACAAGTACCAGCACTCGTTGCAAATTTGGATATGGCACAAAGAGTGACTGCCATGACCGTCTAGTGACCTTCTACTGACCCTCAGTTCATGCTTCTACATCAAGAGCAGGGAACATGGTCTGAGAATAAAGCTAGGAGGGAAAAGGCAGGGGACCCCGAGGGGGAGAGGGGAGAGACGGAGAGCACGGTCCACATCATTGTCACTGCTGCTCTGCCCAGAGAGGACAAACACATGGCCACAGGTCCCCGGTACTGTCCTGGAACCCCTTCTCACCGAGATACCTGCAACCATTCTCCTGACATTTAAACTGGGGCCGACAGCTCCCCCAAATGGCAACGCACAGCCCTCAGAACTCGGAGGTAACTAAAAACCTGCTGAGGGACTCTCGGAACGTGCGCCAGCTACCTGGCAGCTCCCGTTGCTAAGTCTAGTTCTCAATAACACAGCCCACATTTCACCACTGTTTATATAAGAAAGGCTTTCAAAAGATAAGTGTGTTTATTTAATTTTGGCTTCCCAGACTTGAGTTGATGTCTCTAATTGGGAGTTCCCATCTTATGGGACCCTGCTGATAACCTCCAGTACCCACTGGCTGGACTCCTTTATAGCTAGTGTCTCAGCCACAGAGCCCAGAGTCACCAGGACGGCAAGCCTTCCCTGATTGGGGCATCCAGTAATAGCTGGGGGCGGTGTACTGACCTACGCCTAAGGCTTGGCTGCATGGATCTTAGAGCCAGTCTTCTGTTTCTCCAGTTATCCCATTAGCTGGTTAATAATCATTTTCAGCAAATACTTCTCTTCTTTCATAAATATTCATGGATCTGAAATTCTTAGTTCCCTCTACTAAATAAACTCTGGGAGTGAAGTAGGGCAGCAGGAAGAAGGGAGGTGGGCCCCTTGGAGTGAAGCGGGACCCTTTTTTCAGAAGCCTGCTTCTGGCATGCATTTGACCCTCTGTGCCTTTTAGTCTCCCCTTGCATGACGCACCTC